AGCGCGTGAACGCTGCTTGCCTTTCGACTCTGGGTCTGCGTTGCTTGGTTGTTGCCGCTTGGCATGGTCGCGCCTCCTTCGGTGGATGTTGCGGTTAGTAAGAGCGTGAACGAAGCTTCTGCCACTTTTGGCCTGCCATGTGCCTCAGAATCTTTGTCTTCATGCAGGGGTTTTCTGCAAACCTGCTGCGGCACAAGAATCGTCGCACCGATTGCATGTGCATGAGACCAGACTGCTTCAACTTTCGTGCGAAGGATTGGCACTATGGCTGCAACGGTTACCTGACTGGCATGCGTGGAATGTGAAGGCCTTTTGCTGGTGGAGACTCCGGCCGAAGACAACGATACTGCATCTAGGACCCGTACTAGAGATCTCTGGATGTTTGAGAGGACGTACAATTGCACGGAAAGTGGGTAGTCCGGTGCTGGAGGATCTGATTGGGTTGACTCCTCGCTTTACATGCCAAAAGGCAGTCGACATCTGCCCAAAGTGCAATGCTGATGCGAGTGGGGACACATTCTCATCGACAACCAGTGCTGTGCTTCTCTCGTGCTGAGCTTGGCTCCAAGTTGTGGTTGAGAGGATTACGTTGTGCTGCCAATCTCGTCGCACGGGCTTATAGCTGAGAAGTCACAAAAATTCTGACTTTAGAATCTGCGTTTGCTTCAGCAGCAGCAGAACCGCAAACAGTGAGCTGCTCGAAAAAGATCCTCCGCTAGCATCGGTACGAAAGTTTGTTGAAAAGTTTGGTCGTGATCATTGCCAACAAACTTGTGTGCCATGAATCTGCAAAAGAAACATGCCGAGAATGTGCAATTTAAAAGTACTCTTGAGGCGTCGAGCGCTCGAAAGCCGCCAAGAACGGGAGTGCCACTCTGGCAGCCTAGACCGTGTAAGAAGCGTGTTGGGGCCAATGTTGGACATGGCCATACGCACAAACAACCTTAGTGCGCGAAGCCAGTGTTGTAGGCCAAAGAGGCCACAAGTGGGAGTGGCAAGGTCTTAACTTGTGTGCAGCAGGTGCAGCCTCAAGCTTCTTCACACCAAAAACCAAAGTCCGCGAGATCTGCCACGCCATGTGGCGGTGATGGTCCGGCGAGTTTCGCGGGTGTCCACCAAACGCATGTTATGTCGTTGTTTGGTCAGTTGTGGAAGTGTTCGCAGTGTGGTGGCCAGTACTCGTTGTCGAGTAGCGAAGTCACGGCCAAACTTCGGCAGAAGTGTTCAAAAAGGAAGGACAAGAGGAGCAAGGTCGAGTAGGCAGCCTGGCAGCTGTAGCAGCGCGCTTCTCCAGAGAGCTGAAAAACACCTTGCGAGGATTCGCCCTGTGGGAAAAGTCCGCGGGGGAAAAAATTAGAACCTGGGTTGAACCTGGTTGAACCCGGGTTGAACCCGGGTTGAACCCGGGTTGAACCCAGGTTCTTTGGCTCAAGTTTTCGGCTCAGGCGGACCTCAGCGTTCCGGACGGGTAGTGCGCAGTCCCCACCTAGTGGAAGGGCTCACCATCTGAGTGGTGAGCTGCGTAGCGCCATTGTGATTTGTGCTCGGAAATTTTGGCTTGATTTTCTTGCTGAGTTTGCTTGATCGTGGGCCCTTTTCTGCAGCATTCTTTCACCTTACCCAGTCCGTGTTCCAGCAAGCATGCCTAGACAGTACGTGGTGTGTTGCACCAAGGGCTGCCATTCTTGGCTGTGGGCAGACAGAGCAAACAAGATCCAATACTGCAGCAAGTGCCACCAGCCTTGGAGCAAATCCATGCAGGAAGCAGGCCAGTCGTGGGAGCGCGCATGGCCCACTGTGTGGCAGAGCGCTGTGCGCAGGCAGCCAAGAATCAAAGCACCACCAGGTTTAGGCAGGCGTAAGGATAAAGAGCAGGTTCTGAGTGCACATGATGTTCTGCAAGGCGTGTGGGGCAAGTTGAGCGAATCCACACGTGAGGAGCTCAAAAAGTGTGGCCTCGAGGCTAGCACACCGGAAGTCCCAGCAGACCTGCGCGAGGTCTGTCGAAAGCATCTGCAGAGCCTGCCTGAGTGTATCCGGAAGCTGGTGGCGGAGCCAGAAGAGCCTGTCACTTACGGGCAGGCGGTTAGCGATTTGAATCGCCGATACAAGAAGGAGACGGCAGAGCTGCGGGACTTAGTCACCCAGAGCGCCACGCTCCAAGCCAAGATTGATACGACCAAAGAGCTGTACCAGCAACACCTGCGTTCCATGCAGGCACTGACAGAGCAGCTGACCGCCAAGCAGCAGGCCGTCGAGAGCCTGCAGAAGGAACTTCAGGTTAAGCTAGGCGAAGCAGAGGTCAAGCAGAGCCCGCAGGATGATCAGCAAACCTTTGGCACTTTCTTTGATGCCTTGGAGAAAGCAGGCCTGCAACTTGATGAGACACAGCGAGAGAAAGTGCGTGAGCAGCTCGGAGAGCCGCCTGCTGCAGGGCCAAAAGCGTAGACGTGTCGCCGCGGAGGCCGATGCCCAAGCAAATGCAGTTGAGGCAACAGGGCAGGCAATGCAGCAGGGGTAACGCTTGCAGCCAGGTAGCTAAAGCTGTGGGGAGTCTGGTATCGGAGGTCACAGAGGCTTTGGAAGCCCTCTGTGAAGGATCAAACCGGGTCCTTCAGCAACGGCTGCAGGTCTTCAATGCCATCACGCGTGGATCTAACGATCATCTTGGCACCAGCCAGGACGGAGGCCACGACAGGGGAGTCGAGACCTTTTCTTTGCGTTCTTTTGGGGTTTTGTCTGAGGAAGAGTGGCGAAAGCCAAAACGTTTTGTGAAACCGCGGGAGCCTTGCAAGAACAGTTGTGCGCTGTCGGGCCCTCAGTTCTTTAGCCT